TACCAGATCATATATATCTTCACTTATCAATCTTCCCCGCCATCCGCGCTCAGCGCCATCTCTTGGGAAAAATACAATTAAAAATCGAACGATAACGTATCTTAATATAAAATTTTGCATTCCTTTGACTTTGAGATGGAATAACGTAGTTCGCATTTAGAGCCAAAAATAAAAACATTTTTCATACACTTTATGCAGTTGGGCCACATATAATGAATCGATTAAGTCTACTTAGAACTCCATCCGATCAACCGTTGTAGCGGTATTATCTAGTCACTTCCCCAGGTAGAACACGAAGTCATATAAAAGTCAAAAGGACGTCAAATGATATAAAAGTAATGTCATTTTGATGTCAAACGATACTATTTTCATAACATTGATGTCAAAATGATATCATCTTGACATCAAAATGATTTTATATTTTACTCAAGTAGAACAGGTTGCTTATTGGTTAACGTTTTTGAAGTTTTTGGTACGTTTCTATAAAGTAACAAGTCAATGTCAATAATTCGTCTCCATTAATATGACATCGATTAAATAACAGTTTACAGTTGGTTAATAGCTAGTTCATTTACGCATCTTACAGTTATCATTTGGTATATATATTTAATATATCCAGGTATCAACTTAATACTTTTATATCTAAATGATATCTTTTTGGATATTAAAAGTTATTTTTCGGGCGGACATTAGATAACCTTTTCAGTAAACAGAAACTTAACTTTTTTACCGAAAATAAAGTTATCCTGACCTAATTTTTTATATCTATCTTTATTTGTTCCTTATACATTTTTCCTATATACGTCTTTTCTCTTCATTTTTTCCTTTTTATCGCATCTTAATCTATTTATATATTAAACCTACTCTCCTTTTTCCTTATATATTTTCCTTATCCTAGGTGTATCTTAACCTATACTGGCAAATTCCATCCTTTTGGATTTCTTTATCCTTAGACTTCTTATCCAATATCCTTGGAGGTTTTGCCAAGCCTACCGAGAGGAGTGCGAGCATACGAAAATTTTCCTTTCCTCTGGGAATCGAACCTGCGCCTCTATCGTAGTAGACTAGTGTATAGTCCATTGTGCTACGCTCCTACTCGACCTAATTTTATATAGTTAAATGGGATATTTTAAGATAACGTTGTTCTACTTGGGTAAGTTCTATTTGGTCTCAACTAGAGGCGCAGCATAATGATATATAGTCAACTTCTCGTCGTTCGTGTCTCGCTTCGCGCGTGCACTTAGCGCGAAAACACTACCGTGTCTCTTAATATATAGATTACACGTGCACACACTTATCCGCGATTGTACATCGACATTCTCTCCTTCTCTCTCGTAACATCCTTCGTGCTCAATTCGTGATCTTTCGATCAACCGCGTCTCCTTCACGCGTCTCTGTCGCATCCTTCGTGCATATTTTCGGAGTAAACGTCATGTGCGTCGTGGCCTCCCCGTTGAAACGGGCTCGCGATTTTTCGTTTTTATTGCGCCGAGGATCGTCGAAGGCCCCCTTTTTCCCTTGACTCATCGTGGGATGACGCATTGCGTCAGCGTGGAGACGCGTCCCCGATTTCACGGTGCGGAAAAATGCACTGACGGCCACGACTTTCCGTTTCGCGCGAGCGTGCGCGACCGCGGTAATGCACGATCGATTCCCGTCGCGTTAGCCAAATAATATAAAGGACATGTGCCAGCGTTAATCGCGAGTCACGATAAGTCACGGAATGAAATTAACGAAGGGGAAGAGAAGATAAAAATGCTGGCTTTTTCACTAATAATATAGCACTCGTATTTCTCGCATGAAACGGCGAGATATAAATACGAGAAAATACGAAAAAGCTTATGAAAATTAGCTCCAAATAATATATATCATGTAAAAGATGAAGATCTGAGTAACTTTCGAACAATTTATTACCACGTCAATGCAACAAAAAATTTACGTCATCAATGATGTAAATTTAATGATTAATTCAATGCAGTATATTTGTTACATAAATGTAATTAGAGGAATTGAATAAAACTTCCACTGATTGATTTCACGTCGTGATAATCATGAAAGTTTATCTGGGCACCTTCTTGTTATTTCAACAATAGAACAACAGAAAATAAGTAGTAGCAATACGTATATAATGTTATCGTCGCTAGCACCACAATAACATTGATTGCAAAAACGGTTGTTCTCTTGGCCATAACAATTCTTTCATTATGAAATGATAGTTGCAAATACCGATCTCAGTGTATGCGAGTCACGAAAAATCAAACAGCAGACACAACGACGTTATCCGTGTATCTTCGCAACATTTTTGACAGCCGGGTAGCCGCGACAATGGCCTCCTTTGTGTTCTGCGATTGATAATTCCGCCCGCCATGCCGTGATGTACACGAGCGGCAGAATGAGCAACACGAGGGCTTGCCTTGGTGGCGATTGTTTCTTGCCGATATATCGCGACCCGCATTCACGATATATACCCACCACCTACTCACTCGGCATTCGCGAGGCGGCAAATTGCTCATCGAACGGGGTTCATGACCGAGTCAATGAGTCAGATCGATTTTTACGCTTCCAGGAAAAGAACGACCGGTTCGTTCGAGGCGGAGAGAGATAAATGCTGCGTTTAATTATATGTCGATCTCGCAGTCCCACGATTAATAATGTTAATAACGTGGCGGGATACTCTCGCGCGCCGCGAAGCTGGCCCCGCGCTTTTTATTTATCCTCTATACTTTCCCCCCTTCAAAGGGAAAAAATGCCGGCTTGTTATTACAATCCGCCTTAATTATCGCGAGAACAATTAGTTTTGATTATTTTTCTTCGTCCGCCCGCTCACTCGACCGCCCGCGCATGATTGCGATGTGATGCTGCGGACAAACAATGGACGTGTTCGATGTGTGTTACGTACTATCCTTATTTTTAATTTAGAATGATTAGATTAAATAAGATTACACATACTAGAATGCGGGTGATCTGATTAGATTAGATTAAAACAGATAATTATTTGCCCGGCATATAAGTACTTGGAATATAATTGAATTATGTTTTTGTGTCATACAGCGATCATTCGATATTCTCGCTCACTATATAATAATAATTGAATGAATTCATAAGTTCCGAACGAGGTCTGGTCGACGTGTACCGGTTGGCTCTTCGCGCCTTGAGAAAAGCCGCGTTAAACGGCACGGCTGAATGAGATTAATGCAATGATTAGTGCAACAATGCAGTATAAATCCCATTCGCGATAATGCAACAATCGCGCGCGAATAGCCGTACGATCCGTCGCGAATCTCCGAACGATGAGTACCGCGAATGTGTTTTACTAGGTTCGAGACGCTTATTATGTGTCTGAAAAAAATGAATTAAGATTAGATTAGATTAGATACGGCGACACCGCCGTCGTTTGTCTCTCTTCCATCGTTCACGGACCGGCCCCTTGCATTCACTTATCGGATGCATTTTGGCAATTTACGTTTCATAGCTGCACGGTGATGATGTCACTTTATCCATTGACCCACTGCTCTGGTTTCTGGAGGAAATGTCGTGAAGAAAATTGACTGTCGCCAGCAGTCGAAATTCGACTTGACAATGCATTCGCTCGTTTTAATAGAACTAATGCTGCAATTCTAAGCAGAATCGTAAGTCTCGTAACTTGTTCTCGTAAAATTCGTTAGAACTTATGAGTAGATTTACAATATCATATGTCGTACAATCTCTTATAAATATCGTAAATTACATGAAATCGTAGATATTTACGAGTAATTGTACGACATACGATATTGCATAGACTTATAAATCTACTCATAAGTTCTGACGAATTTTACGAAAACAAGTTACGAGACTTACGATTCTGCTTAGAATTGTAGCATAATTCTGCTTGATCTATTAATGCTGTAATTCTAAGCAAATATACGAGTAAATCATAAACTCCTAAAGTCGTAGCTTACGAAAAAAACAAAAAAAGTCATAGATATTTACGAGTTATTATATGACATACAGTCCACATAGAATTGCAGATCTACTCATAAATTCTTACGAGTCTTACGAAAACAAGTTTTACGAGTTTTACGATTTTGTCTAGAATTACAGTATAAGTCTCCATAGTCCAGACCGACCGAAGTAACGTAATTTCGTGCAAATCGCGCTTAAGATAAATGTTCCTGTAACTGAATTAATAAAAAAAACACGAGCAGTTTTACATTTTTATTAGTAAATAATCAATGAGATATACTAACAAAACTGTACAGAACTTTGATTGGTCAGCGATCAAAAAACAGTAGGAAATGAAATGATAAATAAACATTAATTATAATTTTAATGGGATATATTAGATAATGCCGGTTGGTACCGGCAGTTGAATTAAGAAATGTCCCAATTATCGAATAATACAACAGGCTCAATATATGATTAAATGTTCGTTAAATAATATTATACAAATTGCTATGGAGAAATATATTTTGATATAATTTCTCTATGGGTTATAAGGATTCTTTCAGCAATATTAAATACAAAAACACGCTGTTAACGTTTCAATCATCGTGGTATGTTCAATTAGCGGAACGTTTATCTTACCGTGAACCCTGTTTACGGCTCCGTTCCGTGGTAACAAATTTCCACGGCGGTTTCCCTCTCGTCAAACGGCGTGCATTTACCATTAGGCGCCGCGGTTTCGTTCCGCTATCAGTCGCGGATAACGGGCCAGCGGGAGGCGGAGGGAGATAAACGTCGCGAATGGACGAAGGATGGAAAGAAGGTGGTGGTCACCGCCGAATCGCTCGTGAGTAGCGGTCGTAGGTAGTCCCATTTTCGCGCGAGTGTCTTGTCGACTTTTTGACAGCGCGACTTTTTCGCCGCGGTGCACACAGCGCGCGAAATCACCTGAACCAGGTGTCCTGGAGGAGCCATCTGATCGTTGTGCGTTTATCCGCTAAGTATCGTCAGACACGACAATGAACAGTCTTTTACCTGGGGGATTAGCGATTCTTCTCGCAAAGGCCGCGGGGAATAGAGTGCGTGTGTCGTAAATACGAGGGATCAGTGTTAAACGATAAGAATCGGCGGTGAAGTGCGCGTTTTCTGTGAAATTGTATGAGAAGACCGTCCGAATCGATACTCGCGTTACGTCGTGACGGAGATGCAATCGAACTAACGAGAAACACGATCGTCCTGAATCTATTTCTTTAAAAAAATTAAGATTATACGTTGCAATAAAAAGATTTCCCGTACAGTTGTAACACATAATTCACGTGATAAATATGAAGACTCTCAGACATTCAGTCTCGTATAATTTACATCCGTTTGTAACCATCCGTTCTTTTAACGTATGGATTTAGGACGGCGTGAAAATGAGCTCTTTAATTGCGCGAAGTATTATAAAGAAAATCGTTCCGTAGCTCATTCTCAATGTAGAATCGCGAGAACTTGAAGAGATCTACTTCTCGAGTGTTGCGTTATCTCTCGATTGTTTCGCAAAAAATTCCAATGCATTAGTGCAAATTCCATATTTCTCGATCATTCCGCTATCTTCTATTATCTCTTAGAAAATTGCATTTATCGATGTATAATATGAGAGAAACACGGTATTTAAAAGTAAGATACGAAGAGCCTCTCAGCGACAGTACGGTAAAACTTTATTAAAGATCCAATTTATTATTTCCTATTTAAATCACTAATCGCAACGAGGTCTCGCGATATTGATTTTCGTGCTTCCGCCTGCTGGAAATATCGCGAATTCTCGCTTTATCTTATCTAGGTGCGCGGTTTTAACCGGCGCCTCTTCCAACCGAAAATCAGGTAGTAAGGACTGTCCAGAGTCGGGTCCGCGCGATTTACAAGATGTCGAGGTGAAGTTGATCGTATTAAATATTGATATTTTGTCTTCCTGTTGGCTTTCGCAAGCGCAGACTAAAGAAGACGGCGAAGAGACATGGGGTGAGTGTGTTCGGGAAATCTCTCATAGATTATAAATATTATTATAAAAATTATAAAAATTATTTGCCTGGCGTGAACCGTATCTGATATCATGATATCGATTTTGACGATTTTTTTAAACCATATAGTATTCTTGGTATTCTATTTTCGGTCAGCGCACAAGAATATTTGTCGATTGTCTATCGTTATTCGCTCTGTTGTGCGCGAGCGTTGAACATTACGAACCGTTTCAATATCTAATCAAAGTCTTTATCATTTGCTCGAGGTCGCGAGGCCGCGACAAAGCATATATGCCACCTGTTAAATAAACTTTCAGCGCAACTTTAAAACACTCGAAACAAAATAAAAAAAATTGAGGTTTCACCATCGTTGTCTCATTTTTTGGGCAATTCTTGATTCTGATCTTTTAACGACAAATATATGAGGATTAAATGTACAAGCTATATATTAAATAAGTATTTGAAATATGATTGAAACAGCGTGGTAATTTCAACATAGCTGATGAAACTTTTTTCATTAATTTCTTCAGCCTAATTTCTGTGACAAATATATTCTTTAAGTAAATTCTCAACACGTTCAAACGCTGCTGATTAAATCAATTTTTAACGGAATATTAGAACAATCGAAATCGCTCATCACGCGAGAAAATAAATTCCTTTAAAATAAAGAGAATAAAGAGAAATATATTTGAGACGTCGTTTTTTTTATAATAAATAAATGGAGTTGCGCAGTGCATAAGAATACTGACATGTATATGCACGCATTATATATTATGAAGATATACGTTGCGATGTGACAGAGTGGAATAATTTGTCCTGTATACGCGCGTACGTTTTTTGCAGCGCGCAGACAGCTGACACCGGGGGTGGCTTGAGGCCGGAAGTTTCGAATCGCGGTAGGAAATTGGAGCTCGGAAATATGGAGCGAGGACTGCACGAGCGTGATCGAGTCGGAGTTCAGGACTTCGTTCTTCTGGAGGATTTCCAAAGTGAATCAGCTTTCATCGATAACCTGCGCAAGCGATTCAACGAGGATCTTATTTACGTGAGTGGAGAGCGTAATTATAGCGTACGTAACTCTTCGTAGAGCGGATTGGATTATTAATCTACATTGAAATTGCAGACGTACATCGGTCAGGTGTTAGTGTCGGTAAATCCATATAAGAAACTACCTATCTATACTCCGGAAACAATTCAATATTATCACAGAAGGAACTTTTTCGAGGCGCCTCCTCACATGTAAGTATTTTCTTATATGCAATTGTATTCTGTTTTATATTCGGCGATGATGTCCACAAACTGATGAGGTTCTGTAATAAATTATTGACTATAATTCAATTTATTTTTATCAAATAAATTTTTTCATTTTTAATCTCTGCGGTAAAGTCTCATTGTAAATTTCTGTTTACAGCTTCGCTCTCGCGGATACCGCCTATCAATCCCTGTCAAAAGAGAACCGCGACCAGTGTATCCTGATTTCAGGTAGAAAACCGCTGTTTCTTCTCTTTTTATTTCATCTCAAAATGAAAATTTAAGAATGATTAATTAATCTTTTCTCTCTACTTCTGTCTTAGGCGAATCCGGATCTGGAAAAACGGAAGCATCCAAAAAAGTTTTGGAATTTATTGCGGCGGCCACCGGACATAAGAAGCAAGTTGAGGAAGTGAATGACAAACTAATAGGCAGCAATCCGGTGCTGGAGGCGTTCGGTAACGCGAAGACCAATCGCAATGATAATTCTTCTCGTTTCGGCAAATACATGGATGTTCAATTCAATTTCCAGGTGAAATTTCTGTTTTAACTAGTGACTAAAAGTAATAAAAATAATATTTTTCTCAAAAAAGTAGCGATAAAACTAAAAGGAATTCGACAAGAATTGATTTTGCGCGAAATTGAAAGTTGAATTCATGTTTTATTAGCCTAGATAATTAAGTAAAAGTAAGGTAAAAGTAGATAGTCGTGAAAGTTTCTTCTCATTCCTATTAAATCATCTTTCTATCGATTTGTACCTATCCATCCGTTTCTTCGGGAACTTATCGGATTTGCTAAACGGCTAATAACGCTAATGGTAACGCTATTAAATAACGTTGATATTTTCAGGGAGATCCGGTCGGTGGAAATATCCTGAATTACCTGTTGGAGAAATCCCGAGTTGTTCATCAGTCCGCTGGCGAACGCAATTTTCATATCTTTTATCAGCTTTTGGCAGGCACGGACGATGAAACATTAAGAAGATTATTTCTGAAACGAAACTTGGACACTTTCTTTTACCTGAGCAACGGAGTAAGCACAGTTGTATTTTATTTACGCAACGACTAATAGCGATTTATTTTCTTTCTAATATTAATCATTCTTAATTTTTATTTATTTTATAAAAAATTAGTCGTTTCACACACACACACACACACACACCAAATTTTCTCGTTTCTCCAATTTTTTTCTTATGCATCTCTTTATAAATGGATTTCAGACAAAAGGTACAGTGGATACCATCGACGATGCTAATCAGTACAAGGAGGTTGTTAAGGCCATGAAAACTATGGAGATGTCCCAGCAAGAACAGGACGATCTGTTCGCCATAGTCGCGTCAGTACTGCATATGGGTAATGTGGGCTTTACGGAGGAAGACGGTGTAGCGACAATCCTAAAACCAGCGTCAGTCGACGCTGTTGCTGCGGTAATTACTTTCGAAATTATTCACACTACATTAAGAATAAACTGTCAATTTCCATTAAATTATTTATTACATATTTTATAGTTATTTTCATGAAATCAATTAAAAATAGATTTTATAATAAAACGACTTTTATTATAAAATCTATTTTTCGGCAAAATTATTGGTGCCACAGTATCTTATTTTGACCAGAAAGCGATTTATCTTTCGATACAACTAATTATGCAGGCAACTAATATATAATTCAATGAAACAGTTATTAGGATGTGACGTAAAGCGACTGGCGAAGGCATTCACTCATCGTACCATAAATGCACAGGGAGACGTCGTAGTTTCACCCTTGAATAGAGAATTAGCTATCTATGCACGAGACGCTCTAGCCAAGGCCGTGTACGATAGATTATTCACTTGGCTTGTGACCAGACTTAATAAGTCACTACAGCCACTCACTAATCCCCACCGTAAAATGATTATGGGTATTTTGGATATTTACGGTTTTGAGATCTTTCGAAAGAACAGGTAACTGTTAATCGGAAATTATGTATAATTATGAAAATTATTCGCGATGACGTAACTAAATGACACAACTAAAAAACTCAAACTTTTCTAAATTCCACTTATATATTAATTTTAACTATACTCTCTTAGATTTTTATATTTTCTGTTATATACTTCTTATATTTTATATTTCATATGTGTTTTTAAATATGTTCTCTTGTTCAATATTTTATGCTCTGAATTTTTATATTTTATACTTTATATCATATATTTTTAATTTATGTTTTATATTTTGTATTTTACATGTATTTTTATTTTCTATATTAATATTTTATTCTTTTGGAAGTGAAATACTTTAACAAAAATTAATTTACAGAAATTTGCAGAACCTGTAATAGTTTTTATACCAATGGTTTCGATTATATATCGATAACTTTGTTCTTTTGTATAGCTTCGAACAATTTTGCATCAATTTCTGCAACGAGAAACTTCAACAGCTGTTTATCCAGCTAACACTGAAATCTGAGCAGGAGGAGTATTTACGCGAAGGAATAGCCTGGGAGAATATACAATACTTCAACAATAAAGTTATCTGCGACTTAATCGAGGAAAAATATAAAGGTAAAATTTCATAAAAATATTTTCATAAAACGTGTGTATGTGATTGTCTACTCGATTAATCTACCATTAATCGATACGTTGATGACAGGAATAATATCATTAATGGACGAAGAATGTTTGCGGCCTGGAGAACCGACAGACCTTAGCTTCTTGGAAAAGTTGAATGTAAATCTGAACAACCATCCTCACTACATCAGTCATCAGAAAGCGGATATACAAACGCAAAAGATTATGGGCAGAGATGTCAGTTTTCTATATTATAATTACTTATACGAATATTTATTTACTTATATATACTAATACATAAATTTTACTCACTCATTGTTAATGTGTGTCTCAGGAATTTAGATTAATACATTATGCCGGTGACGTGACGTATAACGTACGCGGATTTCTCGAAAAGAACAATGATCTACTATTTCGGGATTTACGCGAAGTTATGTCGCACACGACGAATTCCATCACGAAGGTAAAATATATTTTATTATTGTATTATTTTTTGAGAACTAAAAAACAAAGGAAAGGAAATTTTAATTCTTTTTTTTTAATCTCTAGTATTTCCTTGTATTTTGAGTGCTCTTTTGGCTCACATTTTTGGCTCGTGCATAATCCTTGCTGTATACATTACTGAGGTAGTAATTCCTGTATACATTGTTTGTAGACCGTGTTTGATGTGAAAGATTTAACCAGCAAGAAACGTCCAGAGACTGCAGTGACTCAATTCAAAAATAGCTTAAACAATCTGGTCGAAATCCTCATGGGCAAAGAACCATCCTACATTCGTTGCATCAAACCCAATGATTTTAAGATGTTCCGTAAGTAAAACAAATTAAGGACAAGTTTGAAGTAAAAATAGTTGAAGTAGAAATACAATGTGTATTTCATTGAGAAATACATCAAATAACTCAATATATATAATAATATAATTAAATCAATCATTGAATTTTTATAGATCAATTTAACGAGAAGATCGTTCTACATCAAGTAAAGTACTTGGGCTTGATGGAAAATTTGCGAGTTAGGCGTGCTGGTTTCGCATATAGAAGACCGTATGAGCAATTTCTACAACGTTACAAGTGCCTCTCCTCAGAAACATGGCCGAATTATCATGGTTCAGCGAAGGAAGGCGTACGAATGCTTGTATGTCATCTTGGCTACCAGCAGGACGAATATAGGATGGGCAAGTAAGTTTATGGGTTTTCTACTGAATATATTATGCGTATATTTACAAAATAAAATTGTAGTAAAAATTATTTAAAATAAGTGTTACGGTTTGACTTCGTATATGTATGTATGTATGATGTATGGATATGTGTGTGTGTGTGTGTGTATAAAAAATATATAAGATAAAATATTACTATGCATGTGTGTGTGTGCGTGTGTGTACGTATGCGTGTACATATTATTTCTTACATATATTACTATTAATTATTCCTTTTAATTGTTCCAGCACAAAGTTGTTCATTCGATTCCCCAAGACGTTATTCAACACAGAAGATGCGTTTCAGATGAAGAAGCACGAAATAGCTGCCATCATTCAAAGCAAATGGAAATGTATATTAGCAAGAAGAAGATATTTGAATATGCGGGCAGCAGCAATCGTCTTCCAAAAATATATACGCAGATGGCATGCAAAACGAATAGCGAAAAAACGACGAAATGCGGTTATCACTATTCGCAGGTATTATATTTCCGTTTTACTGAGTTATTGTTCTATATTGAGAGATATTGCATTTATCTTATATTATCTTAATTCTCTTTATATATATATATTTTTTTTTTCCATTTTCTCTCTTTATATTTTTATATTTTAAATTTAAACGTAGATAATTTACATTTATAATAAACTATATGCAAAAATGTTATATATTTTATGAAGATATATAGATATTACATATAAAATTTCTTTGATATATTTCATGCTAATTCGATTTTGTGCAGATTTATCCAAGGATTTATTACTCGAGACGGGCCTCCTACCGAGATTAATGTAGCTTTCATTGAACTGGCAAAATCGCAATGGCTTATTAGACTCTCAAAATCATTGCCACCAGGTATCTTGAACAACTATTGGCCACCATGTCCATATTCCTGTCGAGAGGTACGAGTAGCTCGCATATTGTGTTCAGTAATATAAAAAAATCCATTACATACAAATTCTAAAATTAAATTCGTACAATAAGATTTATACTAAATACATATATAAATACAGGCATCACAACATCTACGCATAATGCATAAGAGATGGAAGGGCCGTTGTTACCGAGTAGCATTGAGCAAGGAGAATAAGGAGCACTTCGAATTAAAAATTCTCGCGGAAAAAGTATTCAAAGGCAAGAAAAAATCTTATGCAAAGAGTTTAGGCCCGAGATTCGTAACCAACCGTCTCGGCGAGGAGCATAAAGCTCTAAGGCACAGTTTCACCAATAATATTCTGCCTTCTGGAGAAAATATAAAAGTAAAAATAATATTACATAAAAAGAAAATTATCAGTGTTTAATGAACCGTTAATATTTTTAACATACTGTTGATAATATTTTCAGTACGTTACTCCCGTTATCAAGTATGATCGGCATGGTTATAAACCACGTGAGAGAGTACTTATTCTGACGCAGAATGCCGTGTATATCCTCGATACGCTTAAAACGTTCAAACTTAAGCACCGTTTGCCTTACAAAGCCATTGAGGAGCTTGTCGTTACCGGAGAATCCGATAATTTACTCATCGTCAGGATACCACCTGAGTTAAAAAAAGATAAGGTATGTCTTCCGAATTTTAATAAATTATATAATTAAATTATATAATTATATAATAATTTAATTATATAATTATATAATTAAATTATATAATTATTAATAATTATAAGAATTATAAAAATTATAAAAATTATAAGAAAAATAATTACATAAAAAATAAGTATACTGTAAAATTTTTGCGCAGCTTTTCTAAAATTATAGTCAAAAAAGCTTTCATCTTTTAATTGTTTGACTTTGTCGGTAGATTCGACGAATCGTTATAATTTTTTTATATAATATAAATATAACTCATTATTATTATAAACTCTATTTATGCAGGGTGATCTAATTTTGGAAGTTCCGCATATCATAGAAGCTCTGACGAAAGCAATCGATATCACTAGCAATCCGAATATTCTCAAAATCGTAAATACCGAATCGTAAGTATATCTCATACGATATTCAATTAACACTTTTAGTATTTTTTACTTTTTAGAAGGATCTTCGTGGCATAGCTCATACGAGTAATATATAAAATATTAAATTATCATTCCAACATTATATATTATTCACATTTATACATTCACAATTATTATTATACTTGAAAAATAATCATATTTTAGTGTATCCCATAAGCTAGTCAGTGGTAAAGAGGGAGTCATCGAATTCAAAACTGGTACCACCCCGGCGATCAGTAAAAATCGACAGAGCGGACACTTATTAGTGGTAAAGATCTGATATTAAAAATTACTTTTTTTAACTCTTTCTTTCGATATTATTCTTATTTATTCTTCGCTATAGAATACATAATTGTGATTTTCAAACTTTAAATATGCCAATCGGGAAACCTAAGTTTAATGCAATTTTGTCATTGTAGATATATTCTCATTATTTTTTAAAATTTTAGGTCGCTTCTCCATAATACCACATCTCCAAACCAGATCTCTTGAGAAAGAGCAACACTTATGCAAAATGAGTAAATGAAGCAAGTGCTATGACGCCTAGAGCAGCCTTAATCTAATGTGATTTAGTACAGAAGCGACAGAATATTAAGAAGAGATAATATATAAAACTTTAACACATACGTTGAACTATCATGTCAGTTTGATACATAACTTATTACATAACAGTGATTATGTAATTAATTTAATACGTGAAACAGCAGGTCTGATTGTTTTAGTTGCGTTTTTTCAGTATTTCTTTCTGCATTTAACAAATTTTAATTTTACTTTGAAAAAAGAGAAAACGAATCAAATGAAAGAGCAAATGATAGAGAAAGCAGAAAAACAAAAGAACATGGTATAAATTGAAACCAGCAGACCTAGTGTTTGTAATAATGAATAGGTTGAACAAATGTGCCTTGAACTCTCATTGCCTAAATTATTTGTTAAAAGTTCAAGAGACTCTTGTTTTTGTCTCTTATAACTTCTTTTAATGTTTTAGTTACCGATCATTTTTTAATTTTTGCATTAAAAAATGACTCGTATATATTTGAAAGAGTGAAATAAACTTATACGGTGTAATTACATAGAGCAGTAGAGAGTTGAAAGATATTGTACTATCTTTACAGTGTGTAAGGTCACATTTAAGTTGTTTTAGAAAGAAACAAAAGTGCCATAAGGCCTCCTGTACAATATTCTCTGTGTAAAACATTGTTAGGCTGTAAATTAGGTGACAATTGATATTTATTTTAATAGAGGAAAAAAGTTGAGAGTTCACTTGTCATTAAGTTATATGCGTGTTATTCAAGTATGATCTAAGTTTTAATCAATGCGAGTGCAATAAATGCAAGAGCAAAGCTTTCACTTATCTCTTTCTCTCCCAAATAATAGATTAATATATTTATATATTAAAGTAGTATATTATATAATATATACAATTATTGATATTGATTATACAATGATTCTGTTTATAAAAAAAACTACTGTTATCAAGATGCATATGAGAAATTATAAAAAATATGGTATTATAATTCTAACTTTCAAAATTTTGCAAATTTGCTGATATTCCATAATAACATTTAACTAAAATTTTTATATTTCTATTGTATTTTTTAGAATAACATAATATTATATGTTCTTATTGTATTATTAATACAAGAATAATTATATTTTACTATTTTTTTCTAAAATCTACAAATAAGTAAAATTTTTAATTGTATAGAACATATATTTCTAAATGTTCTTAACTAGTACATTAAACATATTATGTCACTAACAACAAGGCATTAAATCAAGAACTTTTACTTAATACATACAGTTACTTCTTTTGTACATTTAAAGAATCTTTCTTTGTGAGGGATTTTTTTCCCTCTAAAGCCCTTTCTCGTAATTCATCTTCCATAGCATCATTCACTGTCTTTGTAACCATTTTCTTCAGTTTGTATGCTTCTTGCAATTTTATCTTTTTAGGTTGTACAGGTGCATCTATAAGTCAGAAAGAACATAGTATATAATTAGTATGTTATTAATTTTAATACCAATATAATGTTTAGAAATTAATTCTAATAGTTTATTATTTGCTTACTTCCACGTCTCTGAATAGCAGGACCTTTCTTGCTTTTGTTTACCTTTGCTTTTATCTTCTCTGGTAATTTGGTTTTAACTTTGAGCTTTCCTTGTGGCATTTTTTATTTCCTCACTTGTCCTTTATAAGTTCTTTATAAGCTTAGATATCTTTGTTCAACAAATATCGTTTATGCTCTACAAAGAAAATAATTACAAGTATATGGTCAATCTACATAACATTCATTAATAAGTAGTGATAACACTGATTTTAACAAGATTTTAACAAAATAGAAATGAAAAATATAAACTGTTATATACAATTTTCTATACAATTTTTACACCTAATAATTATTTAAAAAATATATAATTGTAATTATAGTTCAATATTTTAGAATTACAATATCACTTTATTTTTATTTAATTACATTTTACGATATTTTACGATATATAATATAAATCAAATTTATATTACGATTGTGTTTATAGATTTATAGGTTATAACATTTATCACTGTTTATCTAAGGTGATTATGTACTACATGTCGTAGATTTTAAATGTTCTAGTTGTCATATATCGTAAAATACCTTTTTCACTGTCTGGAACAGAATATTTTCTCTAGAAATTATTAGATTAAAAAAAAATTCACATTCATTCACACGACACGGTGATCACGAAAACGACAGACACGTTGAGCAGAATCGATCGTAATATCCTCAAAATAAATATATCGTACTCTAACAAGAAGGAGAAAGTTTTGGTCTAAACACCACTACATAAGAACGTGCTCGAACCTGTGATTTTTAGGATATTTAGGATTTTTAGGATACTTTGAATTATATGTATTTTCAAAGACTTTAAAACTTCTAAAAAAATTATCGTGAGTGGGACACTAGTCTTATTAGGCGCCTTGTACCGAAAGAGAGAGAAGGAAAACGATTGGTATGTCTAATTGTACGAAATTACTCTGTTATGTAAATTTTATAAATATTTTTACGTGTATAATACCAAATATGTGATATCTACATTTTTATAAGTAAATCATGCAGTCGTATAAATCTAACCACAAAAATTGTGTTATTTGAACTTTGTATTCTAGTACTTAAACTTTTCACGTCATGGTTATCTAAAACTGCTTATCATTACACATAACATTTCCAGGGTTAGTCGTGAGTAGAAGATCTCGGGAAAAGTTGTGAAAAATGGCACTCTCCAAGCCAACTGATTTCATGTACAAACTTGTTGGCGCATATTTAGAGCGACTTTACAGCAATCCTTTGAGAACAAAGGCTATAACAAGGTAAGATCAATATAATACATATATATTATATATGCATATGTAAGCTATTAAATTAAGTTATATTAAAGCATGTGTTGTTTCCAGTTGTATTCTTGCTTCCCTTGCAAATATATTGTCTCAGAAATTGGCTGGTGCAAAGCGGATTAATAAAGACAATGTTATTTCCTTTGCTCTTTTTGGGTAAATAAATATTCCTGCTAATAATGCAGACATAAAGAATAAAGTGGATTCTAATGTGCAAATATTTTTATAGCTTACTCATCGGTGGACCAGTGCCGCATTACTTTTATACATACATAAATTTGTTGGTGAAGAATCCTTTGGGGATTTTTCTGATAGAAAGACTAATTTATATGCCATGCTTCCAGGCATTGGCACTCTATACTTTAGCTGTCTTTGAGGTAAGCAGCAATCTTTGATCGTAAAATACACAATTTATTTTTATGTACATACAAATTTATAGAATAGAATTTTTATGTGATAGCTATTATTATTGGATGGGGATTTGTAAGTCATGTCTTTTATTTAAATTATATTATAATCTGTCTTGTTTAAATTTTTATTTTTTATTTGTATCATTCATTGTCTTAACTTAGAAAGATATGAAATATCTTAGTATTAGATACGAGAGTTTATTCCATTTGTGTAATTATGTGTTACTAGAAAATTAAAAAATTTTTTAATTTATTAAATTATTGTTATTATATATATATATTTTTTTTTATTCTTTTATTCTAATGGAATAAGAGATACTAGAATATAAAATGCAAACGTATTGCTGTACTTGTTTTTTATACATGTCTTTCTAACAAATTGAGTTTTAAAAATTAAAAATTATTATTTTTAAACACTATATATATATATATATATATATATATATATATATATATATATATATATATTATAGTGTTTAAAAATAATAATTTTTAATTTTTAAAATTCAATTTGTTAGAAAGACCTGTATAAAAAACAAGTACAGCAATACGTTTGAATTTTATATTCTAGTATCTTTTATTCTATTAAAAGAATAAAATAAAAAATAGAAATTTATTTACAGGGCAAATCACATAAAGAAGCATGCAAACAAACGGAAAAGCTATATTTGCCGACAGTGATTAGTAACTTGAGATATTTGACACTAATGCAGTTCATCAATATAAGATACGTTCCACCAATGGTAATATAACAAATTCATATTCTGAATATTTTTGAAACATTAATTTCCAAATTTACCAATTTTCTTTAGATAATTTAAGATTATTTCAAGATGAGATAATTTAGATCTAAATTGAAAATCTTTATTATTCTTTATTATTTATAAAGAATTATATACCAAATAAGTTTTATTTCTAATATCCTATTTAATTTTTTAGTTAAGGGTCTTGGTGGTAAACTTCATTGGTTTTGCATGGGCCATCTATCTTGCAAGCAAGAGAACCAACATTTCAAAAGGGAAAGCTTAAGAAAATATAATTTTTTACGCTGTTTATAATTGTTATTATTGATATTTTGTATAATAATTGTCTATAACATTTTATATCTATAACAAATATAGGAGCACAACGACACGTTTATGCGCTAAATATGAATTTTTGGCCACTTAAAAAAAAATATTTCACTTGAATACTCGTTCTATTTGTACAAAGCAAGACAAAATGATACATTCCGTCGTTGTAATTTATTAATATATTTTACAGAGTATATTAAGATGTATATGTAAACAATGTACAGGGTATATTGCACAGGTTTATAACACAAGTTATGTATAATCGATATATCTGTAATTAATATAATATTGTAATTAATATAATATTAGTAATATATAAAGATTTATGCGCAAATTATACTTTGTGTTCGATAATATTACGATTCTGTGCATCTACACTTTGATTCGAGGTGCGGGGATGAATGATGTTCAAGAGATAAGACATTTTTGAGATTTTTGATTTAATCACACAACAACAATACAGAGTATATTACAGATATAATTCGAATTTCTTCTTTCGCTTTAACGAGATAGTAACATTCGTACGACTATAAATCATAAGTGGATATAGATACCGATTTCCGAAAACCACGACAGATTCTTTTAACAAGACGAAAAGATCAGAAAGAGGATGAAGTTGCCAAAGAGACATTTAAATTTCGTGATTCTCTTTGTATATTTTCTGTGTTCTAGAGCCAGGAAATTGAAATATGTCCAAACAAAAAACCATTTTAATACCGGGCTGAAAATGCGCTGAAGAGGTACTTAATGCGTAGCTAATTAATAGAGTATAATAATTAATGATCGGAAAATCCTGCATTAAAAAGGGAATCAGTCGTTGAGAAGAACTAGATCGCTACGTAGTTTCCTTGTCTAGTCTGTCGTAAACAATGTAGACTTTCCAAGTTTTACGATTCGCCTTTAACTCTATACATTATATATATTATATTTTTAAGATATCTTCGCGCAATCGCGCCAGACTAGTTTCTAATTATCTTTTTCTTTGGTACGCTGCCTGGCCCTGTCTCCTGTCTCGGGTTCGCGAGAAAAACCCCGTTGACTAGAGTTGCGAATATCGAAATGCAATGAAAGAATCGCGATATCACGTTCATTAAAACTAAAGTCGCTTTACAAAATAAATAAATAATATATTAATAAATAAATGTACAAATAGAGATCTAAATAAATATATTGCTAGGATATCAACCCTTTGCGTTTTACCTTTTAATAACTTGTTTTTAAATTTGTTTATATAACTTTTATAAATCAGAATAAAATTCGCGAATAAGAAATATATAGATAAATATAAATACATCATGTTATAATAAAAACTATATATAAGAATAAATTCTATAGCTCGGTACTACACGCAAAGGGTTAAAATTTCAATCAATATTTCGTTTCAGAAAACTCAAGTTTCTCTAAGAGAACATGTCTATGTACAAAAGAATGAGTCAAAATACATTGCACTAAAAAGTTATGAGTATACAATTCAATCTATAAGATTCGTTGAGTTCAAGGAATGTCATTGTGCTACAAATAATAAAGGGCGTAACTGAGACTATATTATGCTTCTTTTCACGATAAATAATCGAGAACTTGAATTCCAGAGTATATATGCATTTTGAGTAACAATATAGGTAACAATTTAAATCAACCTTCTTGTGAGCGAAGTCACGACCTAACTTTTTTCTCAAAAACTTCACGGATGAGAAAATGATCTAAAATATATATTGAAAATAATAGATTGTACGTTCGCCTTTAAAAAACTATTTCATGCCATGTATCTATATATTGATATGTTTAAACTTTTATTTCTTTGATAGTTTCAAGGCTATTTGATCATTCAGAAATATTAATTTCGGTCACAGGAGGGTTGAAAGTCAAAGATCAGTTTTGAATTTTATATATAATATATATATATATATATATATATATATATATATATATCATGTTACGTTTATTATTATATTTTATATCTTCAAAAATATTCTCTTGTATGTCAGAAAAAGCAAAAAAGATGAAAATCAAGATATTAAATTTCTTTCTTTTTTGTCTGATAATTAGTTATATTAAAGCATCTCAAAGTACATTTTGTTTTTAAGGCATTTTAGAGCTTAATTTTTCTCTAATATTCATTAAATTTTGAAAAATTTGGCTTAGAGTGATTTAGAAGGCAGGTTCTCGACCGTGTAAAGAAGCGTTTAAACGATATTACTAAATTACAACAAAATATTGCGATAACGAGCGACTGAGAAGAATGTCTGATCAGATTCTTCTTTTCTCTCTTATATTGCTTACATTTACGTAAGTTAGCAAATTACGTAATTTAAAAATAATCTAACGAAAATTCTATGAGATTTCACAGAGGGGCGAATTTTAGAAAAATCTCGCTTCCACTACGCAGAGAAAGAAAAGGGAAAAATATCCATTATTAAAATATTCTTTCTGCTAGTTTTGCACATATGCAAAACTTTTTTTAATTTTCAACGATAATCTGAATGAAATAAAAATTTTTTTCTAAGAAGTTGTAAAGAAATTAGATGAAGTTACTGTACCACTTTATACGATTCTATAGTTCGAGTGTAGAGAGAAAAAGAGAGGGAGAGAGTATAATACATTAAAATCTACATAGATATTCAATTTTTTCTACTTCGATACTCTCTTTGGTATCTCAGACGAGGTAACGATCGTAAAATTGCACCGCGCTTGAACGAGGATTTTGAAACAAATATCAGATCTATCGATCGATATCCTCTTACTTGACAAGATCGTTGAAATGAAATTGTTCAATATTATTAGTGGTAATACACCATAGTTTTATGAATGTAATGTACCGTTATTTGATATCGCGTTGTTTTTGAGGAAATGAATACATAAAGTGTCGAAATTGCGCACTGAGATCAGGATTGCGTTTCTGCTCATTTAGGTAAGTAAATAAACGTGTGTAAGCGTATATATATATATGAAGAAAGGAACGTCGAATTAGTTCCGGGACACAGATACTTGCTAGGATACAGGACATGTGTCTCTCTTTTTCTCTCTTTCTTTTTCTCAGCGCGTGTAAGACGGACTCCGGCTTGCGGAGCAGCTGGACCGGTGACTCGGGCTCGACCAGTTGCTGTGTCTGCTGCTCTCAGAGCTACTCGGTGACGAAGGTGGCGTCGGAGTTGGTCGGTGATACGGAATCGGACGTTTCCTCGCGCTAAAATCAACGTTCCTTGATATCGCATTTTTTATACATAAAATATTGGAAAATTAAAATTTTACCATTAAATGTTAGATTTCGGATAATTAGGTGGTACTACGTTATGAGATATAAATTACGTACTACGTTATGAGGTCAACAGTATGAAACAGTTAATCAATACGGATAATAATTAATACAGAATACTTGAAATCCATTATATAAATATAATTAAATATATTATATTGTGGACAGTTCAAAAGTATAACAAGTGAAATAAAAAGCAAAATGTGCAAGCAGCGAAGTGAAGATAAACGGAACAAGCTTGTGAGAAACGCGACATGCAAAATAAAAATGTGATAACTCACCTGTCTTCGAAGATACTTTTCTGAAGATTGCAGTGCCACAAGAGACACTCACAAATCACGAAAACATCGAACTGAAGAAACTAACTAACGAACAAAAAAAGAACAAAAGGAAAAAGAGAAGAAATTCGCTTACTGGGTAAATCTTTTATTCTGCGATCGACAATAATAAAATAAAAGTAATACCCTACGTTGAACATTTAATTTACAATATTTATAAGGAGAACATACACGCATGCTACATCTACACGAATGTCGTAAGCTACGGTTTGTCCAGCGATTCAGTCAATCATTTTATTGCGATTAATTCATAAAAAAAGAAGAAATAGTAAAGGGAAACAAGGAAAACATAAAGAAAAAAGGAAGAGAGCTAGAGAGGAGAAAAAATTAATACAAGTGAAAAAATTCGAAATTAAAATAATTGAACCGAAAAATCAACACTAAGTCGTTCAGTGTTGAAAACTGTGAACAGACACGATTGCAAGTAGCTCCAATAATATTTGGTCACAGTTTACATTAAACTCCTTTATCGATATTATTCTGCTATTACAAATCTGTTAGGGTTGACTGAATTCGTTAACTTGATTACATATCTGTCGATGATTATATAATTATTCTTTGTATACCGTGTGTGTGTGTGTGTGTGTATGTATTTGTGCGTGTCATCAAAATCTGTTTAATTGCGAACGTAGTCTGCAAAGACTTTGCAGGAGAAATTCTATATAGATATGTATTCTATATAGATATGTATGCATATATATAATTGTAATTTTATATTATATGTATACATGTGTTATATATATTTACGTGTATATGTGTGTATACATATAATTATAATTTTATATTATATGTATACATATGTTATATATATATATTTATTTATGTATATATGTATGTATCTATCTATTTATATGCGATCTGTGCGAAGCCGTAACTCTATCTATCTTCTATGCCTGTCCCTCGATCTGTCCCTGTAGGACACAACAAACAAATAAAATTAGCATATCGCAGCTAATGCAACTAGTCATCGTAATTGTACTGTGAGCGGAATTAATCGTATTCCGTCGACAAAGTCTCTCAAGCGTTTCTCTCGAGTGACCTCTCAACGATTTTTCTTAGGGAAATTTTTGGCACGTTTTGAGCGAGTTTCCTAACGACTTTGTGTAAATGTTACGATCGTTCGATTATAGTTATAGTAACAAAAAAGAATACAGAAACGTAAAACAAAAGAGATATAACTGATAAGAGTCGTAAATTAAAGTCTACGATTACGGTGGACTCGCGACACTTCAGCGTATAGTGCGTGATAAATAATACGTTGTATTTACTATAGGGCGATGACGTGATCACATGTGCGTGTTCACGACACCTACCTCGTGATACGTCGCCTGTCGAGGAAGCTGGGTGAACCGTGACGTCGTGGGATAGACGGCGAACGCGATCTGCTGCTGGCGGAGCTACTGGAAGTCGAGCGGGAGGATCTGCTGGTGACGCTGCTCGACGACCTCGACGAGCTGGAGAAGCTCCTGCGACTATGTCTCGAGCTGATAAAAAGAGAAGAGAACAGGTCTTTATGTATTTTATTATTATTTAATATTAGTAATAGTGTTATTTAATAAATACTGGAATATATATAATCAGTATTAAGTGTCAATACATACAATTTCGTATACACGGACTTTGTATTATGTGTTATTTAACACGTTGTTTTCATAGATTTTAATAATGTTATTAGCATGAATTTTTTTCTAATTATTCACAGTGCATGAATCTTTTTCTAATTATCGACTTTTTTGTAGCTGTAGAACTAACCTGGCAGATGAACGTGAGCTGCTCCTAGTGCGACTACGCTTATCCTTCTCCCTGGACGTTCTCGACGCTGATCTCGAGCGGCTCTTGGATTTCTTCGACAAGGAACGGCTGCGCGACTTCTTCGACAGTGACCTGCTTCGGGATTTTTTCGATAAGGAGCGCGATCGTCGCTTCGAAGATGACCTGTGTCTGCTGTCGGCGCGAAATTCGGCCGGCGAACGTGAGGCAGACTTCTTAGCACACGTGAGCGAAGGTGACCGCGACTCCGTGGAGCGCTTCGACTCCGAGGAAGATCTCGATCGGGACGAGCGTTTTGTTCGCGCTTTCGGCGACGACTTCTTCGTCCGCGACGCCGATCTGGACGATCGTCGTCTAATCGGCGACGCCGATTTCTTGCCGCGCGAACGGGACCGTGACTTCTTGTCCCGCGGCGACGGCGATCTGGAAGACCTCTTGCCTAACGACGGTGATCTCGTGCACGACCTCGACGCCGATCTGGAGTACGACATGTTTTCTCTATTGGCAGATCGCGAACGCCGATTCGATCTTGCGAGCGAAGTGCCCGGCAATGGCGGCGGTGATTCACTGGGCGAGCGCAGCTTTATCATCGTTTCGTCGCGCGAAGTGTTTGTCATCTGTGCCAATATCGTCGTTGCTGTCGTTGGTGAACGAGAGAACGATTGCTCGCCGCCCTTCATCGACGAGTCTTTCCTCGACGCGGTCGGGGAGTCCTTCTTACCAGAATTGCTCGGAGGCGATCTCGATGATCGACGATTCTTCATTGTTACAGGTGACACATTGACTTTTTCGAACGATTGTTGATTGGACAACGGCATCGGCAATATCGGCGGTGGTGGTGATTCGCTCGGCGACCTGATTTTGATTGCAGCTTCCTCTCGGGTGAGAGGCAACGCCGGTGACGGAGACCTGCTGGACACTGGAGACCGCACCACCGTCTGCAAAGACGTAACTATCGACGTTACTTGGTGTTCTCTGGACTCGGATCGGTCACGTACTGACGATGCGGCGTTAATCAAACTCGACGGCGTAGTTACAACGTTGCTCTTCGGTGGCTCGTTCGGCAACGCGATGTCCAACACATTGCTGTTATCCTCTCTTCTTTCGATCTTGATCTTTGCCGGAGTGATGACTGACTTCTTCTCCAGCGCTTCGCGCGCTTTAGCTGCCAAGCCGCTTTGCAAGCGCTTCAACGTGTTCAATTCCATCATTCGTTCTTCGTCCTCTTGTTGCTGTTGTTTGGATTCGTCATCGGCCAGGTCGGCTTCGTCTTCGCTGGACGATCTCAAACTCACCCTGGGTGCAACCACCTGTGCACCGCGTCTGTTTCTCGACGTGGAACGCGACTTCGCCCGCCCGCTCATTCTCCTCCTCGTCTTGCGATCTCGCCGCTTCTGTTCTTCCAGGATATCCTTGTAACGTTCAGGATTTTTCCTTACAGGTGAGTAACTTAGCGTAGACCTCGAACGGGCTCGACGTTGACCTCGCCGAGCCGGCGAGCGCGATCTGCCGCGCGACTGCGATCTTCTGCGTCTTGACGTAGATGGAGACGGTCTCCTACGGGAAGACGCATAACGATCATATTTGGACCGACTTCTGCTTCTAGACGCCGCGGCAGAATGTCTGCCGCGCCTGCGACCGCCGCCAGGCGACCTGGACGAATACCGTCTTCGTCGGGGAGACGGACTGATCCGTCGAGACCTCGAGTATCTTCTGGGAGATCTTCCTCCAGCGCCTCCTCTGTCGCCTCTACCTCTAGACGATGATCTGTGTCGGCGTGGAGGACTCTTGTGGATTATTGGCGGTGACTTATCTGCTCGTCGCGTCTCTGGCCCGCTTCTCTTCACCGGTGAATCTTTCTTCGTCTTAATCGGTGGCGTCTCATTGTTGCGAGACTGTCTATCCGTTCGCGACTTCGGCGGCGATCGCATCGATCGAGCGGCCGATGGCTGCTCCCGTGTCGTACTTTCGGTCATCTCGTTTCTCGAAACCTTCTCTTTCTCCTTTTCGGCTTTCTCATGTCTCATAGACTTTTTTGGTCTCTCGACAGAGCTATGAAAAAAAAAAAAAAAAAAAAAAA